TTTTGCTAATTAATAGATGGTTTTGTTCGTCTGAAGTGTGAGTTCCAAGAATCAAGCGCTGTGTAGTGTAGTCACCATTCTCTGCCTAAAATTCTACATCTAACGAAAACCTGACTAGCCCTTTTCCACCAGAAATGGCATTCAAAACTTCAACTAATACCTTTTGTATATCAGGTAGCCATTGTACGGTGAGACTCGGCCATTCCAAAGCATGTGTCATCACCATATCATACAAGAATGGTGTGTTCTTCTTCCAAATTTTATACTCCTCATTTATGACCTTCTCCTCCATGCTTCCATCACTAGCCTCCACCATGGTTGAATACTAGAAAAGGATCTTCATTATAATTTACTAACAAAGGAACAATAGCCAGTGTACGCATGGTTACAGCAAGAGATAGAAAATAGAAGATGTCAGATAGGCTGGCCCCTACATGAAATACGCATTTTGCTTAAGATTTACCATAGTTCCAGATCCTCTTTTTGGGTGAACATTTTGTACCATTTTGACGTATGAAAAGAGGTAAATCAACAAACAACGCAATGGTAAAACTGTTTCTTCCTGAAGCATTTCTGGACGTGATCATGAGAAAGTACTGATGATTCCAACTCAATTCCTCCAAGAATGAATCTTCAAAAGGCAAAGCGAAATTTGAAGGCAAGATGCTTTGGTCGATTTTCGTATGCGGGCTGGTGCCAGACTTCAAAGGGAGGATGGATTCTAAGGGGTGACAACCTTATCCAAAAGTTGATTCATACATGCATAAAAGTGGTTGCACATGGAACAACAGGTTCAAAACGAAAGATTACTTTAAAATAAGTGTTTAAGTACAAAACTATGGTTTTTTGACAGGCATGTGTGCTACTCATATGAAGATGCGTGTTTTCAACAAGTTCCATGACAAAAACGAAAAACAAGATTGACTTCTTTCTCTGTCTATGCTATACTATCCCAGATTCGAATATTTTGCCAAAACTCTAGAGTCAACTACTAAACAGAAAAAAAGGAACGGGACTTAAAACCACCGAGGGCTCTACCTAATTCCTGGCCAATTTATCTTCAAACTGCCTTTTAACTTAACGGCTTTTGCCATCCTACAAGCTAAGCAGAGCATAAATGTATAAAAAATTGTGATAAAACTGAAAAAAAAGGAAACATCTGGATGGAACGTGCTAGCTGATCGACGAAATGCGGGTAACTTCGAACGCCGCGGATTTGCCGCGCTCGTCTAGCTCAACTGGTCCAAGAACGAAACCTTTGGCATATCGCCAGCTCAAAGATCACTTGAAAGTACTGTAGTTTTCAACTTCTGAAAAATCTGGAATTCGAGTATGTTTTCAGGGTTCTTGTTGTTATTCTTCTATTTATTTATTCAGTACATAAATGTCTGGGCAATCCAGTTCAGATAAGAGGCTATCTTACCATTTGCAGGTAATAATATGGAGGAGCTTTTGGAAGCGATTCGCAATCCATTCTTCATAGTTTATATATCTGTTTTGCTGACGTTTTGTGTAGTAAGTTTTTCGCTCCTATCCTAAAATTTGGGAAATTTGATCCATTTTTGGGCTTTAAATCAGTTTTTTTTTGTGTGTGGAGAGCCTTATTTATTATTTTTCTTTATTTGTTTCCCAACTTTTACTCTTAGCGC